AAGCTCATGTGTGAGGGGGCTGGGACTGTGGCTCAGTGGTAGAATGCTCGCCTAACAGGTGTGAGGCACTGAGTTCAATCCTCAACACCACATAAAAAAAATCAATAAACAAAATAAAGGTATTGTATCCATCTACAATTTTTAAAAAAGCTCATGTATGAGGCAATGCAAAATGTTCAGAGATGAAATGATTAGATTATGAGAGCTATAACCTGATCAGTGGATTAATCCACTGTTATGGAGAAACTGGGTGGTAACTGTAGGCAGGCAGGATGTGGCTGGAAGAGAAAAATCATTGGGGCATGCCTTTAGGGTTCATATTTTGTTCCTGGTAAGCAGAGCCTTCTCTCTGCTTCTTAGTTACCACATCCTGAATGCTTTCCTTCACCACACCCTTCCAACGTGATGATCTGCCTCACCTTGAGCCCAGAGCTGTGGAGTCAGCCAAACTCCTGAAACCTTGAGCCAAAATAAACTTTTTCACTTTTTAAGTTGTTCTTGTCAAGTCTTTTACTCAAAGAGAAGAAAAACTCACTAAAACTCTCCAAATCTTTTACCTCATTATTTTTTTCAAATGAGAAAAAACACAAGAATGGGATCCTAAATAGAATAAGTATTTCTCAAATGAGAAAAAACAAGTACATTTATATATATATATATACATATGGCCACTATATTCTGCTCATACAACATCCTCTTTATTTAAAGAAAAAAAAGTTCAAATTCAAYTATCCCATGGAAAATGAAACTTGCATTATTTCCACCAAACTTCAATGTCTCCTTGACAAATATAAGTAAAATTTCCCATCTTATTTAAAAACTTTTAAGCATGAAAAACAATAACAACAAAAAATTCCTAAGCACAAGTAGTAATTTCACCTACAAATCAATAAGCAGTTCTCTGGTCCCTCTGCCTGGAACACTTTACCCATTCAGCTCTCTCCTCCATCTCCTTTAGAGTTCTACACAAATGTCACCCCACCAGAAAGACCCTGAGTGAAATAATTCCGCCCATTCCTCAATGCTCCCTATCACCTTCCCTGCCRGTACCAGATTAGTACCACTGCACTGATTTCCCCTGGACATTTTATTTATTTCTCTTTGTTTATCCATTGTAAGCTCCAAGTGAGCACAAGACAGTTTGCTTTGTTCCCTGTTGTAGTCCTATGCCTAGTAAGTGTTCAACAAATTAATATTGGTACAATAATGGTTGAATGAAAGGCACCTGTGATCTCAAAGTGCTAAGAACATTGGTTTTGGGGGGCTCTGTTTCTTTCGTTCTTATCCCCTTCAATCCTTCTATAGCTTCCAAAAGAGCATCCACTTTTTGGAAATGCCCCCTTTCCAATGGATTCCATGTCTTATACAGAGGGTGCACATTCATAATGATGAGCCATCTGTGAGCCAAAGGCACATTTTCATTAGCTCACAGGATGTGCTTAAAATTTTAAAGTTAGGGCTGGGGACATAGCTCAGCTGGTAGAGTGCTTGACTAGCATGTGCAAGGCCCTGGGTTTAAACCCCAGAACTAGAAATAAAAAATAAAAAATAAAAAAATCAAGTCAGATTTCAACTTAGATGTCAACATTTTTTTCTTTTTTCTTTTTTTAAAGAGAGAGTGAGAGAGAGGGGGACAGAGAGAGAGAGAGAGAGAGAGAGAGAGAGAGAGAGAGAATTTTAATATTTATTTATTTTTTCTTAGTTCTCGGCGGACACAACATCTTTGTTGGTATGTGG